ATTCTCATGCAGCCGCAGAGAGCTCAACGGTGGGTGGGTCTGTAAATGAAAGGGCTCTATGTGAGTTAGGGCAGTGGCTTGAGTCCTTCTGGCTTACCCATCGATTCACCTGCAGGGATGGCTACTTTCCAAAGATTCTTTCCAGCTCATTGGTTCTGTGAGTCTGAATGTCTGCTCTTATTCAGAATGTGTCTCTCAGACTTCCCCCAATGGCAGGGAGTGACTTCAGAGGGTGCAAGTTTGTGTGTGTGCACCCGCTCACATGTCCATGTGTATCTGTCCTGCTGCAAATATGAAATTTCTTTGAAGTGCCATGCTTCATCTTAACAATTAATGCAAATTTGGATTTCACTCCAGAATATTTGTCCTTGTTTTAAAGTATTATTTAAACTTGCTTAGAAAAGGAAATTAATGCTTATCCTGTGGCATCCTGCCCTTTCTCTAAGGCTGTAATAATTTCAGTGTGAGAAGCACTGGGCTGTACTTTCTTAACCTTTCTAATTCTGATGTTTTCATCTGAACACATTCATTTTTCAGGTGTAGTTGTGTTACAGTGTGTCTGTTTCCCTGTTCACACTCACAGGGCTCAATGGGGGCACTGGATTAAGAGTCAAGAAGCTGTAGATTTCCCAGTAGTAGTCAATCAGTCCCTTACAGATGATTTGTGCAGAGTACTTCCTGGCAATTTACGCTATTTCCAGGGTAATGTTATCAATTAACTTTTATTGAGCATTTACTATTTGCCAAATACTTTGTAGCTTTTAAATCTAATTCTACCCTTATAAAAACTGCGAGGTAGGAGGCTCTATTATTATCCCTATTTTATAGATGAAGAAAAGGAGATGCAGAATAATTTGTCCAAGTTCACACAGCAGCAGATAGTGGAGCTGGGATTCATACCCACACAGCCTTATTCCAGGACCACCAAGTCGTATTGCTACTGCAGGGAATTTACATCCTACTGGCCTGCTGCCCAGATAACACTGCAAGAATATTACACTCCTTTATTTCATTGAGTGGGTGTGTGAGTCACCTCTGCTTGTTGGAGCGTGGCGTGGGGTCAGAAGTCACTGCAGCATCCATCTGCCTCACCGTTCCCTCTGATTCAGGAGCATCAATCACTTGGGAGGCGTGAAGATAGGAGAAGGTGGGGCCACCTCTGCCAACCCAGGGCCGATAGAAAAGCATGGAATCACTCTGCTTCTTGAATGCTATGCTGCTTCTCCAGAGCTTGGCAGCAAGGGTGGTTGCAGGGAGGGCAAGTTTGCAGGCAGCCAGGTAGGTGGCATTTAAAGAGGTCCTTTGTCAGGAATCCTTCACAGGGTGCCTTGGTCCTATAGGAAACCTGCATTGTACCCAGACCTTAACTTCTAAGATTGTCACAAGAGTAACAATCCCAGGACTGGCACTGGCAGCATACACAGCCCGGGCCAGGCTAATTGTCTCTGGCACAGGCATCATTTTTTCCTGGCACCTGTCCTCCTAATAACTGGAACTGCTGAGTGGCACAGGATGCGCTGTGTCTGGCCTGGCCCTAGATCACCTGAAGGAAGGAGCCAAAGTCTTGGCAGACAGCCCTGGCTGAGGCCACAAGCTCCATATCTTCAAAACCAGCTCCAGGTGGTGGCTTTGTGGGAGTCAAGAGGCCGCTCTGCACCAAACCTTCGCCCCTTGACTCATTCTTGGAGTCAGAAATCTGAGAGGCTTGCTGACATTTTAAAAAGAGCCACAAGGCATTAGATGTTGCTGGAAATGCAGATATGGCCATTAGCCAGTCATTCCCACTGTGGCTAAGAGTTTTTCTTTTAAAAAATTATTACTAGATTTAATTTTATTCTTTCATTATCCAGTTGGAGTTGGTCTCTTAAGTCCAGCGAGGGACCTCAGTTTAACAAGGTATCCACATAATGTGTGTCTGTTTCTGTCTCATTCATGTTCCCACGCGGCACCCCTAACTCAATCATCCCCCCAACTCAGGTTTCTTGTTTACTTTTTCTGGAAACTCCTTATCAAAGTTCAGTTCTATGCTCAGGCTATGAGAACTATGTGCTATGATCATTCAGTACAAGCTGCTGCTACTGTACCCTTAAGATGTCCATTCATTTGTAAGTAAAACTTTATTGAGCTCTTGTTATAGGCCTGGCATTGCAAATACAGTGAGGAGCAAAGCACAGAAAATCAATACCCCCCTGCAGCTTCCTGTAGATTAAAGTCTGCCCAGGCATCTCTAGTCCACATATTACTCTGAGGACATGTTCCTAGTTAAAGTCCACTTCTGTTTTCCATGCTGCCTGTCCCAAAGCTTCATAATGTTTTTAAAGTCTCTTATGAAACCCTCACCCTGGAGATAGCCAGTAGAACTTGGTCAAGGTGCCAGAAGATCTGACATCTGGTAAGGGCCATTCCTGGCTTGCAGATGGCCGTCTTCTGGTTGTATTCTTAGATGGTGGAGAGCAGAGAGAGGAAGTCAGCTCTCCTTTGTCTTTTTATAAGGTTACTAATTCCACTGTTGAAGGCTGCCTTCTCATGACCTACCTCTCATGACCTACCTCTCAACTGTCCTACCTCCTAATAATAGCACATGGGGAGTTAGGATTTCAACATATAAATTTGTAAGGAAATAAACATTCAGTTCATAGCAGACAATTAACTTTTGTCTGAAGCAAGACCGTAGACCTGCGACTTGTGTGCCAGAAGAGGATCTTAGGTGTGCTGCAAAAATTTTTAAAGATCATTAATTAAATTATTTTCAAAAGAAGTTCAAAGCACAGTAAATATATTCCTTTTTTTTTTTTTTTTGAGACAGAGCCTCAAGCTGTCCTCCTGGGTAGAGTACCGTGGCATTACAGCTCACAGCAACCTCCAACTCCTGGGCTCAAGCGAGTCTCCTGCCTCCGCCTCCCAAGTAGCTGGGACTACAGGCGCCCGCCACAACGCCCGGCCATTTTTTGGTTGCAGCCGTCATTGTTGTTTGGCAGGTCCGGGCTGGGGATTCGAACCCGCCACCTTAGGTGTACGTGGCTGGCGCCTTAGCCGGTTGAGCTATAGGCGCTGAGCCATATTCCTTTTTTTTAAAAATCAACATAATTTAAGTTGCTGTGGAAGTTTAACTGCAAGTTCAAGCGTGCCATGAGATAAAAAAGGTTGAAAAACACAGCTCGAGATAGTGGTCTCGCATTTGGAAAGGAGAATGGGGACTGGCAAAGGGAATTCATGTACATAAGCCAGCTGCCAGGGCTCTTGGTGCTTAGCTGGAATGAAGAGTGGGAATCAGCCATGAGCACAGGATGCCAGGGCAGGGATAATGTGAAGATTGTAGCTGTTTGGGCCTGAGGGGGCCTACAGGATCATCCAGGGGCACTGCAACCAGGACTTGGAGGCCGAAGGGGCAAGACTCGTTCTGACCCACCACCATGTAGGAACTGGGCTCTGACATATAATGTGTAGCTGGGTACATTTGGCTTAGAAACCGAGAGGAATCAAGGTATGGTTCAGATGACTTAGTAAATATTGGGGGCTGGGAAAGGCAGGAACTGATAAGTCCCAAGCCCTTTGAAGAGGTGAGATCCCACTATAAGCTGTTTAATTTTGTGACCCATATAATGGTGGTATGCCATATATCTATATAAAATAATTTAAACTAATTAGAATTAATTTTAGAGGGTGAGTGTTTGAAGAGTTTCCTGATAACTCTTGAGGTAATTAGAGATGCTTTGGGATGTCACAAGGAATAACTGGGCTAGATGTTTAAACCGGAGATGTATGATGAAGGCTAATAATAGAATGACAATTTTATAATTGCAGGAACACTGAATTAGGAACTAAGAATTTGGGGTTGAAATCAGTATGCTGGTAAAATGGTTTTCTGAAAAACAAAAACAAAACAAAACAAAAAGCCTCCAAAAATAAGCTCATGAGTTCAAGACTAGCCTGAGCAAGAGTGAGACCCCACCTCTACTAAAAATAGAAAAATTGAGGCAAGAGGATTGCTTGAGCCCAAGAGTTGGAGATTGGCTCGGCGCCTGTGGCTCAAGTGGCTAAGGCGCCAGCCACATACACCTAAGGTGG